TCAATTTTGAGAAATACCGTATAAAAGTAACGATATCTGCCATAAAAAAAACCTGAATTCACTTCAAACAAACTCTATCCTAATTAAGTTAACCTACAAGGAAGATCATTGAAGAAAATATGGTTTCGTTGTACAATGTTTGCCTTTCATAGCAAGTTCTTTTCAAAGTAGCAAAAAAGAAAAGAGTTTTATTTTTCCACAATATTCATTTATTTATTGAAAACTTATTAGAGTTTACCAAATATGATGATACTTGAGCACAACTACATCTTTATCCTTGTTTTTTTGTCCGCAACACCTTTCAGATCTTCTGTCTCGCATCATTCTGGAAATCACCGGTTTGTATACACGAATGAGTTGCCCTGCTCATTTAAAAGTATGTATAGAGTCAAAAAAAAATATTCTAATAAATTACAGTCAACGATCAATTATAAAAAAGCTGTTAGCGCAATCCCTTGCGGGATTAAAAATGTGAAACACGATGGATCTGTTGTTACTAATTAAATGGAAATCGTTTTGTTCTATTTCTTTGCAATACATTTGTAGCTAACCGTTTATCTGATGCTTTAGAAGTACAGTTTCTCTGTCACGGTCTGTGATGGGTCCAAAGCCTGTCTGTCACTGTCTGTAATGAGTCTAAAGCCTGTCTGTCACGGTCTGTAATGAGTCTAAAGCCTGTCTGTCACGGTCTGTGATGGGTCCAGATCCTGTCTGTCACGGTCTGCGATGGGTCCAAAGCCCTGTCTATCACTGTCTGTGATGGGCCCAAAGCCTGTCTGTCACGGTCTGTGATGGGCCCAAAGCCTGTCTGTCGCGGTCTGTGATGGGTCAAAAGCCTGTCTGTCACGGTCTGTGATGGGTCCAAACCCCGTCTGTCACGGTCTGTGATGGGTCAAAAGCCTGTCTGTCACGGTCTATGATGGGTCCAAACCCCGTCTGTCACGGTCTGTGATGGGTCTAAAGCCTGTCTGTCACGGTCTGTGATGGGTCCAAACCCTGTCTGTCACGGTCCGTGACGGTTAATTAGCTAATTAGATACTAATTAATCAATTAATTAATTAAATACTAATTAATTAATTAAGATGTCTCTCACGGTCTGTGATGGATCATGTGAGTGTCTGTCACGGTCTGTGGGGGGGGGTCCAAATTTCTACCCTTAAACACTTCAACACTCCTTTCAGATCGTGTTTCACAAAAATCGGTATATAAATCTATTGAGTTTTTATGTCGTATCGCATCGTCCTGTATGAATAAAAGCTGTAGTCTGTATTCATAGCTAAATTTAAAAAAAAAGAATATTCTATTACAATTTTAAAATGAACAAAGAAATTATTACAACAAATTAATAAAAAATGTTCGAAATGTATAGTCTTTTTCTTTTGAACTGTTTTTATTTCTATCATTCGTATTCCTATTGGAAATGGCGAACCTTAACGTTTATTATGTTTTCTATTGTTACATTAACACATACAATTTATTTTTGATTAATATTTGCATATATATAAAATCTTTCATAAAAAATGTTAGGATTAGTTTGTATGCATAATAATATCTCATGAACGTTATTTAATCACATTGAAGTTTATGCAGTCAATACGATACGTACATAGATAGTAAGTAAAGTCGTGTAATAAACATGCAGCGTTTCTGAAAATTTGGGTTCACTTTCGAGTATGGTCGTTTTCAATTAATTAATAATAAGAAATAGACATCCTCAACGAAGTTCAGAAATAGTCAAACATGGGCTTGATCGAACCTTATGATGGCTCTAGAATTGTTCATACCCTTCAATAAAAGCCTGAGCAATGATCGAAATACTCGACATTGTTAGAGGGCGTTGGTATTAGTTGTGACTTCTTTCTCTTGGCTTTTTAATCATTATAAATGCTGTGAATTCAGTACGATGTTTATCATATATGAATCGTAAGCAAGTATTCATGAGTAAAATGCTAATTAAAAATCATCATGACTATAAATAATTTTCTGATATTACTCTATAAAAACTGAAACGGATAAAAAAACATCGATTCAGATTCGATACAATTCAGTTCATCGTGAAGAAAAACACAATTCTTTCACTGTCTTTAGTATAAAATTTGTGTACATTTCGCATAAAACTTCATTTAGATTTTTGTGTGTTTACGTGTTCAATCTATTGGTTTTAGATAAATTCGGAAGTTGCAAAACGGAGTTACAGTACAAATGAGAACTTACATAATTATATTTATCAAGTATACACGGTTTCGAATTGAAATCAGGTATTTAAAAGTTTCATCATAGATTAAATCAGTTGAATATTGATATTGGTATAACTTGGGATGTGGGTAAATGAGTATTGGAATAGGATGAAGAGAATCAGCACGTCAACACGTGTGCCTTTTGCTGATTATGCAGAATCACTTTTGTGAAACACGACCTGATAGAAGTATTGAAGTGTTTAGGGTAGAAATTTGGACCCCCCCCCCCCCTCCCACAGACCATTACAGACAGGTAATTCCCCCGTCACAGACTGTTACAGACAGGTAACTCCCCCGTCACAGACCGTAACAGACAGGCTTTGGATCCATCACAGACCCTGACAGACAGGCTTTACACCCATCACAGACCGTGACAGACAGGCTTTACATCCATCACAGACCGTGACAGACAGGTTTTGCACCCATCACAGACCGTGTCAGAGAAACTGTAGTTCTAAAGCATCAGATAAACGGTTAGCTGCCAATATATTGCAAAGAAATGGAACAAAACGATTTCCATTTAATTAGTAACAACAGATCCATCGTGTTTCACATTTTTAATCCCGCAAGGCATTGCGCTAACAGCTTTTCATATCTTATCAATTGAAGAAATAATGAAAAAAGACTCTGATTTGAAAAAAAATACAAAATTCGAATCTGCTTGTAAATAGCCATATGCTTTCTGTAAATTTTCACGAATATGACTGTTTACGATTATATCCACTCGATTTAAACCATTCTATTTGTACAATGATTAAAATATCTCTTTATCGAATCTTTACAGTAACAAGTGTTCAATCTAGCAAATACCTGTGCACAACAGTTCGCACAAGTAACTTTCCTAAATCTGATTGAGAGAAAGTTCGGCTAAAAAGTTCTTACGAATTACATTTCAGATATGTGTCGGATGACGATCTTCTCGTCTCAATCTTTTTTCTTTTCACATAAACTTTGATCAGTCTCGATTGGTGATCTGTTCTACTGATGTCAAAAGTAAAAATGCTGAGCTCTAAAAATTGCCAGATGTTAAAATCTCTATGAAAAGAAAATAACGAAAATAATATTGTTGAAATTTATCTCTTTTTGATAGTTCCAAGATTTGAAATTAAGGTGTAGGTGTTGGTGACTGTTGATATTCCGTTCAGTCATACCCTTATCTAGAGTTACAGTACGCTCATATCCGTATCTTTTTTTTCAATTGAAAGTGTTATACTAATTTGAAGCTGGTAATATAGTGCCAAATGTTTTGATACTTTTAAAAGTTTTCATATATCAAGCCTTTGAAGAATATGAAATTGAAATCACAGACTTTTTACTGTTAGAATAGGTGTGGGTATATATCTTGGCTAAATCCACATCCACATCCACATCCTTATTTTTGTAATTTTATATAATTGTATCAAAACTTTGGATAAAGCCTAAGTAAAATTAAAACATTCGTGTGTTCTGGTAAGTACTCTCACTCTCGCGTTTCATTCTTCACTGTAGACTATCTAATCATACTGAAACCAACAGAAACGACTGTAATACGAAGTAGCAGTAATAGAAATTATGATGTCAATCTCATTTGCAAACTAGTGTATACTTCATAGTAAAATTCTCCTGTTGATTATATTGAACAATGCAGAATAATAGAAATTAAAAGTGAACCACTGATAAAATCATTGTTGTCCGAGTTGTATTGTCCAGTATATCAGACTGAGAAGACAAACAATGAAGAGTAGTGATGGACCAGGAAATCCAAATCCATAACCATTCGGTATACCACTCTTTTCACCATCAAATACAGCAACATCACTTTGATTGATTGCTCGCCCAAGTATCAACTTATGTTTGTGTGCAAAGTGGCGCGCTCGAAATGCTTTGAATACACACTTGGTCGCTCGAAGCAGCCCGCTTAAAAAGAAAAAGAAAGAGAGAACCATAATATGGTAAAAAGAATTAACATTCACAAACCCCAAGCAACCGATGACTATAGTACAACGAGTAGCTCGATGAATGTCGATCAAAGGACTTTTTGTGACAACGATGTTCAGCAGAAAGAAGATTAAAAAGCCCAGAAGTAAACCCTAAACAGACATTACGTCAGTAACAGTACAAATATACGTATCGAGAGACACGTGGGTCAAAATTTCCACTTGAGAATTCACGAGAAAATTTCTATCCTGCAGAAATGACCGTTTCTCCAAAAAGAAAATAATTTTTTCATATGCATTGTTTCTGTTCGAAGAATTGAAAAAGTGTAAAAAAAATAACGTATTTTCAATGAGCCACAAGGTTGTGCGTTCATATATCTATTTTTCATTCTGTTGAAGATACTCATGTCTTTCTCATGATTTTTCTCCTGGGTTAATTAATACTAAGTCCAAGATCGAAATTACCTCAAGTAAATCCGGAAACAAGTAATGTTTTTTTCGAGTCGTGTTTGATTCAATTGAGCTCTCGTTAGATTGATGATTCAGCTTTCGAATGAGAGACTACTGACAATAGGAGAAACTTTTCTCGATCGAGTCAATACACTGATGACAATAATATTATATCAATGTAAAAAGAAAATATGGAATACTTCGTACCTTCACTATACCCATTACATTGTAAATGAAACAATGTGTACGATGTTGACAGCAACGCTCGAGTGCTTCAACTTCTATTGCATGTTTGATTGAAGGGACAGTGTTTGACTTGACCGAACTTGATGAATGTTTGTTTTTCACAGATTCAAATAGCTCTGTATCATTCAAACTCAGTGAATTCGGTTTTAATCTAACCATCGTTTTTACCTAATAGTGCTTGATTGATCTTGTCTCCGTATTCACGCGATAACCCATGTCCAGCATGTTCTAACGTGACAAATCGAGAGCCAAGTACCTGAGATATTAAGCATACGAAGTAAAAAGAAGATATAGAAAAAGAGAGAACAAACTGACTCGTTGTAGCATATATGAATTTGTTTCACGTACAAGCCGATCTTCAGTGCCGACAATCACCAATGTCACGAATGGTGAATAGCGAATTTTGAGTAGATCAACATAGCCGATATAATGTCTTTGTACGGCAAATATTTGTCCGAGAATACCAACAAGCGTTGGTGGAATACAATTTGTTACTCGTTGATGATGATAATCGTAGAAATACTATGATTGAATTTCGGTAAAAAGAAATACTGTAATTTAGATTCGAAGTACAAGCTAACCTGTCGTTTATCAGGATCTGAAAGTGTTTTTTGACTGTACAGCATCTCAAGAGCATTTTGAATTTGTGAATGTTTATCACGTGTCCACAAAGCACGAAGAAGATGAAGAATGCCGACAAACGGTGCTCGGCCGGCAAGACCACCAGCATGTGTAGCCAATAGAGACAAAGAGAGAAGTTTATGTGGTGCTAAAAGAGCTAATTCAAGTCCAATCATACCACCCATGGATACACCAACAACGTGACATTTATGCCAATTTAGATGTTCGATAAGTGCAAGTGCATCTTTTGCCATTTGAGTTGTTGTGTAGTGCAAAGTGAAAGGTGTCGAAGACCGACCACAACCACGATTGTCGAAGATCACACACTATGCATATTGGACTTATCATTCATTATAAAGCGTACATATACGACTTACCTGATATGCATGCTGTTCACGAAAGAATCGAGTCTAAGAAATGAGAATCATTGAAACATCCGAGAATTAAAATGAACTATGTCTCACTTGAGAAATCCAGGCTCCACTATCGGTCAACAGACCTATTATGAATAATATTTTGATTCCACCAGCACCATGTACTTCATAGAATAATTCCACATGCTGATTTGACTCTGGTAACTTAACATACGGCATTATGATTTGTAATTTTTTTTCTGGAACATGTCAATCATGAGTCGTGAGAGAGTACCAGCAATGAATTGATGCTGATTGTTTTCATATATTTTGATGAAACATTAAAAATGATGTTATATCAAACACTCAATAGTTTTTCTAGTCTTATCGGAAAGCATGTAGTACATAAGCGAATATGTGTGTTGCTATTAATGAAGAGGAGATGGATGGATGGGGTACGAATGAAGAGATTCTCACATAACATTCCAGATATCGCGTTGAATACCTTCTCCTTTCTAATCTATGCAAGCACTTTCTATCGATAGATGTTTGCCATATTCGATCCTACGGGGTTTTTTATGAGAAGCTATCATCAAGTGAATAGGACTATAGTGTTCCAGAAAGTTTTCGTTGCATTAATTGTCATTTCTTCATTCGCATGGATAAGAGTGTATAGAAATCAACTTATTGATATATTACGCTATTGTTCGACTGATGTAGTTGTTTTTAGAGAAAATGTATATTGGAAGAGAGAAACTTTTTGAAATTTACGACAGAGTCATCTAAAAGTGAAACTTGGTATTGAAGCATCTCTTATTGCAAAGCAAAAAAGTTTTCTCTATTAAAAGTAGAAAAATTATTATTCTTATCAAAGAATGTCTACATTTTCTGCACAAAAAGAAAAACACATAGTTTCTTCTTCTAGCGACTACACAAACATTGGTCAGACATATAGGATGATGACCTGTTTCCTTCGATTGTAACAGCTCTTTTTCTGTATAGCTATACGAAATCTTTGCTAAAAAAAAGTTATTACTGCACGAGAAGAATAGATTCATACGCAAGAGCAACTGGTAGCAACCAAGATCGAACCAAAATTTCTTGCCTCAACTCAAGCTAAACTAAAAACTAGCTTAGTTGCTTGAAAGAGTTTTTACTAACACAGGTTCAAAGTTTGAAAAGAGCATTTCGATATTTTGAGCAAACTTAAAAGATAGATTAGAAGTTACAAATACCGAACAAAAAGCAGCATTATATTATTTTGAAATTGCAAATACAATAAATAAAAGTTTTTAAAAGAGCGAAAGAACCGTCATATAAAAATCTAAGAGTTGTTTCCACGTAAAATGAGGAATTCTTTGGCAACTGGCTTCTGTTATATAGCGTGACGATCTCTCGAATATGATCTTCCGTAACAGATTTATCACAGCATCATCCAGTATTATCTGTGTGAAATATGTGATAAACAAAGAGTATATATTTTTTCGGAAATGTGACAAGGTTCATAAATTAAACTACTCTGTAAACTTTTATTTTATTCGATTGGATTGCTTCTGATATTTATAGTTATCAATCAACCACAGGCCAGAATCCACCGATTATTTGAGAACGACATTGATAAAAGAAAATGTTTCATAGCGTAGCCAGGAAAACTGAAAGATATTACACCTCTATCTTATTCGATGTAGCTCTTAGCAAGACAAGTTAGAATGGGAACCGATTGAATTTTTTCCAACTCAACTAGGCTGGTCAGTTGAAATTCTTCACTTTATCGACAAAATATTTCTTTTGAGTAGCAATTGATAGTACGCTTTCACGAATACATACAAAGTGAGACTCCTGTATCTCTTTACGTATCTAATAATAATAACGTCAAAGTTAGGATGAAACGTTTCGAATACACTAATTCGAAGAACAAAGAGAGAATGTCTTTCAAACTTTTCATCTACTGATTTGATCTTGAACAACATCTATGGTTTCTGTTCACTTCACTTTCTTCAATACAGGTATCATTTCCTCATAAGAATCAATAAATTTGATGTTTTCTTCTTTGAAACCATGACTTAACACAACTGAAAGGCTTCTCAATTTGTATATGAATACTGTTGAAACTAACACAATAAAATGAGCTATCAAGTTCAAAATTCTACAATAGATTTTTCATAGGTTTAGGTTTCTCAATATCTTGAAAGTTTCAAACTGGCATGATGCCAGCGTTCGGCAGAACTTTCTTGACAAAAACAGATTCTTTTCTGATATTTATCTATGAAAAAGATGATCTGAAAACTACTAGCTGTTCAGAGTAACTCATAGAAGATAAAAAAAATGGTTTAGACTGATGAGTTCAAAATGTCGGGAGAAAAACTCGTTACTTTAAACCGAATGTAACTTATGACAGTTGACTATAGTTTATCGTTTTCGTAATAAATTTCTTCAGCATAAAATCGTCTATTTTACTGAGAATTTGGATGCAAAATCGATATACGACATTTCAAAATGTGATCGCTTACTAACAGTCATGAAACGATCTGTTTCCTACTCAACTAATTCAAAATAGTAAAAGGACAATAACTTCAAACATACGTCGAAACTGTAGTCAAATGGAAGAAGAACAATGAAGTTTAAAACATTGAGTGGCCGCCTTTGACTTTTGACATTGCACTCATCAAAAATATTGAATAACTCTTCAAGAATATGTGAACAAGAAAAAAAATGCACAACTTATGCATTCCTAATCTCGGCAACATATCAGGAGTGAACTACTTTCTTATCATTGTTGGTCATCAAACTTGTATACAGTGGAAATAATCAAATTTCTGGCCTTGTTCAGCTCAGGTTGGTTTTTATATTGCATGAACGATTATAATACATGATAAACTTCTACACGTTAAACCTCCCAACCGCATATGCCTATTTGGTAAAGTAATGCGGACGAAAGCAGGATGCTGGCTAGTGAAGTGCAAGATAAGCATTTTTCGTACCATATACTCTGAGTCAGAAAAAAACTGCTAATTGTTACTCGATTCTACCTTGCTGCCTCATTCCACCTGACAGGGTATGATGTTGTCGGGTTGAGTATTAATGCACACCTCTAGTAAAAGTCATCACAACTACTTCATGTAAGCCGATATGGCTAGCTGTTGAGTATGTATGTTGAAAGCATTGACAATACTAGACTGAGTCTATTTTTTAGTAATTAAGAAAGATATATATATATATCAGTCTGTATATCTGCAATTTTTCATGGAAATAAAGATATGGTCTAATGTTCTATATTTAGATATAATTGGAATAGACTCTTCGTTAAATATTTAAAAGTCTAACATCGAGATCATTTTTCCCATGGAAGACACGTGTTGTGACTTTAGATCGTCTTGAAGAAAAGTAGATGTTATGACTTTAACACTTTCAAAACAGTGAAGTGGTCAACTATGATCCATGGAAAAGGAGTAGAGCTCATAATTCTCTGTGGAACTGTGTATGATAGAAGTACTCAAATTGTTACGAAAATCATTCTTTAATTTCTGCTACTTTTACATGCATTTTCCTTTTGTTCTATGCTTTTCTTACTTCGCTGATGTATTTTTCGTATTCAAAATATGTGAAGATACGTCGAAGTGCATAGCAACATGTCGACCAAAAACTGTTTTGAATGTTTCCAAATACAATTTGATTGCTATCAAGATGCTAATGCAGTCATACTGGATGTTAATCTTACGTTTGTATGAATTGAGAGGCTGTTGTAGGTGTTTCTCTTGAAGATTGTGTCTGTTGTGTGTGTCCACAGTTACTAGTCAGGGTAACTTTGGCATTAGGATGGTATTCGTAATAGCTCCTAGGTACTAATGTTAAGACGACAAAAGATGTGAACTTCTGAGACACTAAAGTACTGAAGTAGGAACTTGCGATAGGTGTAATGGACGTTTTCGTAAATCTGTTTGAAAGCGTATTTTTACCTTTGTTCTCTGAAAATGCCAAACTGCAGAAAGTTTCAGCAAGGAAGATATTAACGGGAGGATTCGATCTAACTCATCGATTACAAGACTTTTCTATTTTTCCAAAAACACTCGCTATATATACTAACAAACAAAACAAATCTGAATATAGTTGAAAGATAACATGAACGAGAGGAAAAATACCTTAGCAACTTCAAAGAAGATAACATTGTGCAAAATACTTGAATGTGAAGAAAGCAAAAGAGCAGAAAAAAAAACATTTATATTTTCATTTATACATATATGCATAGCAGAACAGGAATGGAAGAAAAGAAGCAAGATCATATATAACTGATTCACACTATAACAGAAGGGAAAAACCAGTCTGTGGCTTGTTGATGTATTTACTACGTGATAAAAATAGAGTGAGCGAAGAGAGAAAAATCAGCGCAAAATGTTTGTGCCAAGCCAATACTTATTTTGTTCGCCATCCTATTTTTTTTTTCTACATCAAGCAGTCACTTCTGGACCAGTTGAGAAAGCGTCACAAAATTATGGGGAAGCCGTGTTATGTCTTCCTTCTGTAAATGACGAGAAAAAGAAAAAATTGGCGAAAAAGAGGAAAAAGCTTGCCTGTAGCTTGTGGATGTATATATTGTTTGATAAAAATACGGAGAGAGAAGAAAGAATATGTGTAAAACAATCACGTCACGTCAATATTTATTCTCTTCACCATCCTATCATGTCATTCTTTTTCTACATTCAGCCACTCTTTCTATGCCAGTTGAGACAACATCATAAGACCATGGAGAACATTTTTTATGCTTCCTTCTCGAGATAACAAGAGAGATAGAGAAGGATCAGTTAAGACTAATACAATCAGAATATCCCGTATGGTACTAGTGTCGACACTCAGTAAGTTACAGAATATAGTGAAAACTGTTAAATATCAATAGTGTTTGAGGGACTTTTTGAAATTGAGAATTATATATTTTAAGAGAAGTTTTTTCACGTGTTAAAGATCCGACCGATCGCCAAACCACATTTTGGTGACAATGTCAAAAAATATAGTAGACTAAACTTTTCAAAAATGAATTTCTGAGAACTGAAAGTCTTCCTACAAAAAAAATACTACAAAAAACACAGTTTGAACGCGCTTTTTTCCGCTCGCATGTTCTCTCTAGACTTTAAACACAGGCATGTTGTTCGAAAACGCATATTTTACAATGCGTTTTTTTTTCGTTAATAGCGCATTTTTTTAACAGAAATTTGTTTCTATCCCGTTTATTCTACCGGTGCTCCTACAGTCTTATGAGGTTGACGTAGGTGAAGTTGTCACAGTATTCGAGTATTTCCACCACGAAATTGCGAGAAACTTATTCCAAATGTTCTATTCTTGCTCCAAATAGAACCGAACGAACTCTATCGATTGGTATAATAAGAGTTTCCATAGTTCAAATCAGCCACCTTAAGAATCGATTTTTCGGTTTTTATTCATCGCGGAACACCTACCCTGAAAAGTACTTCCTGGATTCGCCCAGGGAACCCTTGTACCTTTGCTATTCTGGTCGCGAATGGAAGCTGGCCAGCTCTACTGATGTGTACTATCTAGTATTTCGATGGTCAAATCTTTTGTGTGACAAAGCTATATTCCTTGTTTCGAGTTACTGTAATCAGTGAGCTACTGAGTATCTCCTTTGGAATGTGGTCAGAAGGTTTGTGAAATATTTTCGTAAATTCGTTTTATTTTGCGGCAAAAGAGAAGCATAGACGATGTTTTCATTGATTGTATAGCTTAAGGAACGTTAGCAATGGATTCCAGTTTTTCTTCTTGACAGTCCTTCTTACATCTGTGGTAGCTTTCTAATAGGTTGTGCTCAATTCAGAATATGATTCGGCATCGAATGGTGCTATCTTCGATGGAGATGATACAACAGAAATATCTGGTTACGACCCCAAAACACAATAATCTATTGAGCCGACCACTGACCCTGCATCGAACTCTGAAAAATGTCTACCAACCCCTCAATTCGCTATGTTGCATAGAGAATTCAATTCTCTACCGAATAGTATTTTCATCGAGGTTCATTCATCATAGAGAGCTCTTAGGGTCGAAGTACCGGCACGAAGGCCAATTTGTTACACATTTCCTGCTGATATTCATTCCAGAAGTGCTGCTATTCTTAGAAGTGTTTGTGCTGAATGGAGAGTTCGATTGCTTCTGAAATTATTAGATTTTCGAAGGAGACCGTATTACGGTAAACAGGGATTATGGACAAAAAATTGCGTTCTCTTAGCCATTCTACTATTAATTGTTTGTAATATTCGTGACTATGCTCGTGTCTGCTCTCTAATTAGTGGTGCTTAACGCAGAATTTGATTCCGCATCGAATATTGGTATTTCATAAATGGACTTGCTGACAAGCAAGAACATTCGACGCCAAAAAGTGAGTTTCAGAATTCTGCCGATTCGTTATTTCTTGCTAACGCTCGTCATATAATCTATGCTATTTCTCAGAGTAGTTGTGCTGGTTGCTGAATAGCATGTTTTATGCAGCAATTGCGGACATTTTTGTCAAAAAACCTCTTCGCTCGAGGATGTGGGTGTTGATAAAAATAACTTAATTCACACCCACACCTACCTTCTTGACATGCTGAATACAAATATTAGTGGGCACAAAAATAAAAAACTGCACTCATACTATGGGCTATTTAATTTCAGTCTGAATTTATCAAATAAAAATAATACTTGATTTCAAACTGAAACGTGAGTCTAGGAGTGAGAGAGGGGGGTGACTGAGGGTGTGAGTGTTGGTCTGGGACCCACACACACACCCACACCCATGGTGCGGGTGTGGGCGCGCGAATGAGGGTGAGGGTGTGCTTGTGGTTTTGTGTACTATAGGCTTTAGTCCCCTGCACAAGGGACTAAGCGGGGACTAAGCTTTTTGTGGGGGGGACTAAGGGGGACTTTGCAGGACTAGGGGGGACTAAGGGTTTTTAGTGAGACTACGTAGTATCAAGCGAGAAAAGTTTGATTCGGAAGAAATTGGTGTGGTTTTTTTGATTTTGGAATTCAGTTTGAAATAAAAAAGCCCATAGACTCATTGCACTAGTGAAAACTTTAACCAACATTTTCTAGCCAATCAAATCTCCACAAGACTTGGCTTGTTCCAGAGCAATGGAATTCTTCTCACTGATGTCATGTAGTGTTTTTCTGTTGCTATTGAACTCAACACAAGTAGTTTCGCGTCTGTTGTCCGCTACTACTTAGGTCTGTAATTTCAGTACATCAAGTAAATCGTATAAATACTAGTAACACATTCGCCTGTAGGACTCATTGTTTTTCATTTTAGATAAGCTACACCGTGTATTTTGACTTACTTTTGTTAGTTGACAAATGAGTGGCATCGATTTGGCAATTTCGAAACAAGCCATTGGTCGACATGGATTCATTGGCAGTTTATATGATATTCGTAGCGATCAATTTGAAGGTGGAAATTTATTCAATCGAGAACTAGCATCATCATTGATTTCCACAACAGATTGTGCAAGTTCAGATTTTTATGTGGATGAAAATCTATCTCAAAAAGATACACTTAATAAGCTTAATATTGAAGGATCCATGAAACTAAGTCTTATGGCTGGCCTAGTTAAAGTCGATGGTTCAGCAAAATATTTAAATCAAACAAAAACTGACAGTCAAACAGTTAGAGTAACTCTGATGTTTAATGTTAAAACAAAGCAACAACATTTGCAAGTTAGTATGGCGGATTTATACAATTATTTTATACCAGATGCATTAGAAAATCCAAATGCAACACATTGCATTACGGGTATTATGTGGGGTGCACGTGTTGCAGCAACATTCGAACAAGCGCTGAACAATTCAGAAGCAGCCGAGGAGCTACAAGGTCTACTATCAGCATCGTTGAAAAAGGCAACAGTCAATGTTGAAGGTCAAGCAAAATTGGAGAACGTTGAGCAAGCAAATTCGAAGTTTCGTTCATTGAAAATTAGTTTCTCCGGTGATGTTCTAATAGACGATGTTCCCCATACTGTGGACGATGTTTTTAATATTTTTAAAAAAGTACCATCTATGTTGAAACAATTAAACGAAGGGAAAGGTAAACAACTTGAATTTCAGTTATATCCATTGAAACGTATGGCAGAAATTTTCAAGTATGAATTACGCATTGAAAAACGGTAGTAGTATATATTCAAAACTTGATGTAAATATCTATATTTTTATGTATCTTCATTTCAGTATTATTAAAGAAATTGCCAATCATATGATACATAGTATTGAAAATGTTTTTGAGGAAATACACAGAGGAAAACGAATAATCAATGACTTTCTTGCTAAAATTGAACAATGGAAAGATTTTATCTCACCAGTTTGGACAGATGTTATTCATATGCATCAAAGAAAATTAGTGGATGCAGAGGGACGAACACAGCGTGACATAGCATTATTACTTGAACGAATTCGACGCGGTGAAGCTAACGAAAATGAAATAATCGATTTGTTGAATGATTTTTACGAGAAAAAATTATGTTCTCCGAAGTCTATCGATCGATTCCTAAAAGAAAATGCACGAATTAATGCTAAAATTGAAGCTCTGAGTCGATTCGATCAAATGACAATTGAAAAAGGCTTAGATAGTGGAAGAAAAGAACCAAATCTATCTATTCTACTTAAGAAAATGACAACTATTGAAGATTTGATTGATAAGTATTATGATGATAACATTTATTTATTACATATCGCATATGAATGGGAAGAAAAGGACAAACAAAACTGGTACAAACAATTGCGATACTTTAACAACTTGCAGAAAGTTGAAATGCAACGAGAGGAAAAAAAGTCAATTTTTCGAGTAATTGATCATGATTTGTATCCCAATTTGCATGATAAACCTGAAACTTGCCTTATTTACCATGCATTCCGTGGAAATATCAAGTCCAAAGATTACTACCATACATCACACAGTGAGTTTATACTTCCTTCTAATCAAGTGTCTAGAAGAATTTTTTATTGGCTTCAATTCATGTGTATAGAGAAGTGTGAAAGTGAAGAAGTTGTTTTGTAATTTTTTATCCATTTTTTTCTTTTAAGAACTCTTTCTAAGTTACTTACCTCATTAGGATGATATAACAAATGAGTCTAGTTAGTGGTATTTATACTGTTTCCTCATTAATATCAGGTATATAGATTCAAGTCAGAAACACTTGCTGAACATCTGTAAAAGCTAGAATTATTTACTTATCTGTTCTATAGAAAGTCTACGTATAATATATAACAATTATTAAAACTAACATTGTTCTTTCGAGTTATATCTGAAGTTTATCCTACTATTCGTGTGCCTTTTACTAACGGTGTGAATGTAAATATTCATGTGAATATGAAGTGAACAAAAGTCACATTTGTCTACACTCACATCCTCGAATGTTCGAACTACGAGGTCGCTAGAAAAAATGAAGTTTTTAACCTTGAACTATTTAAATGTATTCGCCTTTTTGATGAATGATGCCATAGCAGTATCGACTTTATGTTCCACATTAATTTTTATATTGATAATGCTTTGATAGATAAGCTTTTCTTGTTGATCATAAAGTTGCAAGGATCTAAGCTCTTATGCAGACTTTCTTAAATTTTCGAAAGACTATATTTCAAATATTACGTTGTGTAAAAAGTTCGTGCGCCGTGTTAAAATAATGATTTTTTATGCATGAATTTATACAAAAATAACAACAACTATTCTTCCAAATAAAGACCATCATTGTCCACGACCTTCTGCCAACGATCTGCAAGCTTTCGGATTTGGTCAAAGTACCACTCCTTCGGCTTTGAATCGAAAAATTCTTGACA